CCTCACCACCTGAGTTCTGCCAGTAAGGAAGTCCAACACCCATGCACACAGACGGCTGTTGAGTCCCAGATCCCTCAGCTTGTGAACAGTCTACCGGGCACTATTGTGTTGAACGCTGAGCTGTAATCAACAAACAGCATTCTCACATAGTTGCCCTGTTTCTTGTCCACGTGGCTAAGGGTGATGGCGTCCTCCGTGGATCTGTTGGGTCGGTAGGCAAACTGGAGTGGATCTGTGATGTTTGGGATGGAGGAGGAGATGGTTTTCTTCAACAGCCTCTTGAACACCTTTATAACCACCGAGGTCAGTGCAACTGGCCAGTAGTCATTCAGGCATGAGGGCTTGTTGTTCTGGGGACAGGGATGATGGTAGATCTCTTGAAGCATGTGGGGACCACAGACTTGAGAAACAACTTTTACTTCTCTGCTTCGAGTTTGTGTTGTACTTTTTTTAAGGTTTACTATTGCTCGGCTAATGATATATGCAGAAAAACATGAAAAATTGCAGGTAACTGTGGCAATTTTTCATCAACTACAGCAGCGGTCCCCAACCTTTTTTGCGCCACGGACGGGTTTATGCCCGATAATATTTTCATGGACCGGCCTTTAAGGTGTCGCGGATAAATACAACAAAATAAAACTAGTACCGGTACCGAAAAAAAGAAAATTTATTCATAACACACGTGAAAAGACCCAGGAAAACCAATTTAACGATAAAAACGATAACAAAATAACGGTGAAAACCGATAAAAACCCTGAAAACTCTCGCGGCCCGGGGGTTGGGGACCGCTGAACTACAGCATTCACTAGGTTTTTGGTACAGTATTATCTTTACAACCGATTCCATCCAGTGACAGCCAGAAACCTCCACTAATCAGGGAATAAATTTTTTTTCCTAACAATCTGTCAATGTATCATGTCTTTAGTGGACATCTCTTGAGCAATGTGTGCATGACATCACATGAGTAACCTGCGAAGCATTGCAAAAACTCCACTGATGTTGGTTGCACTGGCTGACAGAACATCTGATGTGGTTTGCACATTTAAACACGGGATCCAGAAAGCCATTCCAAAAGGTACATGGTGATGGTGAGGATTTAGTACATGAAGAACCGAAGATAATATCAACTTTAAGTAAAAACAGACCATTGGTGTAGCACAACCATACATTTAGGTGAAGAAATATCTATTTACAGTGCATGGTAATCAGATATAAGGTTAAACGGAGTCTTCTTAAAGTAAAGGTTCTTTGTTTGGCGGTAAGGAGATAAAAGGCCTTACAGGACAATAGGGTGGAGTTATTTAGACTCCTGGGTGTGTCCAACCAACTGACAGGAAATGTATGCTTTTGTATTGAAGTTGGAAAATGGCTTAGAATTTGTGATGTTAAGCTTATATTAACATTGTGTCAATTTTCTACTGCTTATCCAGGTCCAGTTCACAGGGCTTAAGAAATGGGGCTCCCTTTGGTCTCCAGAGAAGCCTTCATAAATTGCTACCTTGCTGTAGTGGAGCTGTTTGTGCGCTAGTGATGGCAGCAGCTGTATTGTTGGGGATAAATTGTCACTAAAAAAGAAAAAAAATTAAAATTCACTAAGTTTTAGCATGCATTCCATTTAGGCTCCAATACCAGTTTCATGTCATCGCTACAGAAATGTGTTTGATAAGGACACACCCCGATCTTAGTTCAGTGTTCCAATGCAAACATTATTCCACAAGACTTTCGTTTCACTTTCAGAACCAGCTGTTCTGATAGGCAGTGATATCTCCCCAGCTTCCACAATGAAGTCATTTGTGAGCCTTTTTACTGAGATGCACGCCAAGAACACAGTCAGGCTTTGCATTGTCTCACATTTTCCACTTGTCTATGATGAAGTAAAACCAAAAGTAGGTTATGATTTTTTGCAGGAAAAAAAAAAAAACAAAACAAAACCACAAACACACAACAACACACTAAGACACAAAAGTTAAAGTCTAAGAACCATCTAAAACTTTATTTCGATCTCCAACAAGGTACATTACATGCAGATGCAAAACTGTTTGCTGCCCAACAGGCATGTTTAATCATTCATTAGTTAAAATCTTCCACTGGTGGGAAAAAAATAAAAAGTTAGAGATGAGAAAAAACAGGACATTTTACTTCACAGAAGCAGTTTGTAGATCCTCTGGAAGCTGCACAACAACTTCTCAGCTTTTGCTTGGATATGCAGTTCAAGGTGCATTAGAGAAAAAAAAAGCCAACACAAATGGCTCAAATTCTCAGATCATAAAAAGAAAAAAGTTGAGTCAGAGTACAGCTGCTGCCATGTTCTTGACAATTGAAGATTTGAGCTGAGGGATGAGGCTGATCTTGAGAAGCTTGCTGCTCGAGTACTTTTTCCTCACAGCCTACAGAGACAAATCCTCAAGGTCAGTCTCTACTCACATGATATGAGCTGGTGTATTTATTCTCAGCCAACTCACCTGGAACTTCGTTTTCCCTTCATTTACCAGCACAACATTTTTGGCAATGTGCTGCATGATGGGCTTCAGGTGGGCCTCATCATAGGTAGAGTAGTGCTGCTGTGTGGGAGACTGATGGGAGGTCAATTAACAGCCAGCTTGAAGGAGCAAAATGTTCATAGAAAGTTTTATTTAAACTTACCCAGGGTAGGCCGTCCAGCAGCAGCTGGGAGAGGCAGAGGGAAGCAGCAGCGACCTCAGAAGGCCTGTAGTGCACCATATTGTAGTCGAGCAGGGTCAGCTCCATCAGGTACTTGGCCAGCGTGTGTCTCTCCACATCAGACTGATAAACATGCACGTCAAGGTTTAAGATTGTTACAGTTTCTCTAACACCTTAGCTGCCATTTTTCTTTAATACAGAGTGATACACATGCAAGTTGTGAATTGGAGGCAGCTGATTCCTACACTGTTGAAGTCTTCTCCACATTAAATTCATAATGAAACTCACATTTGCCACCTTAGATGCCCGTCTGAGAAAGTGCAGTGGGAGAGGACGCCCCAGCTGAAATTTCAGGCCCTTCAGAATCTGCTGCTCCATCTCGAGAATCTGAGATTTTGTAAAGGCGTTGTCGGTTATGTAGGCAAAGTCGCCAACCTCTGGGGCGTACATCTCCTCATACTTGCAGGCCACCAGCATGGCAGTCACACCGACAAGTTGCAGCTTCCTGCGAGACACTGGCTGGACCTGCAGCATAACCAGAAGAAGCCTTTTAGATCCAGGTCACAAAGCCATAGACAAGGCTGTTCAGAAACATCACCTGAAGAAAGCGGTCCAGAATGGCAACTGTGAGGTACAGAGTCTCCTGCAGCAGCTGGAACCTGGAGTGAACCTGGACCAGCCAGTCGATGAGAAGCGCTCGCATACCATCAGTGATTTCGTAGCCCTGCATGTAGTTTGCTCGTACTGTCTGCTGCAACTGAGAAGACAAACTGATGTAAGTCAGAGACGACAGCAGCTGGTGTCGGCAGGTAGGGGAAGAAATTACCTCCAGGTTGTGCAGATACTTGTAGATATCCTTCACATATTCTGAACAGAGCTGTGGCTGGTCTGCATCCTCCTCGTCCACGTCCTGCACCGCAAGCAGTGCCTCAGAGAAAGCCAGGCACAACTCTGTCTCCTCCTTCATGGACACATCGGTTGCAGATTCCTCCAAAACCAAAGGAAGAGGCTCTGTAGCTGCTTGGACCGGTCGAACTGCTACGTCGGCAGGTTTAGCCACTTGGACACAAGATGGCTTGGCCGACACTTTTGTCTGTCCTGTTCTCTAAGGAAACAAGTTTGGAATCATTACAGTCGGGAAACGCAACAGGAGTCACTAATAAGACTTTTGGACAGGAATAAAGTTCTGTTCAACTATTGCGACCTTCCCTTTTGCAAACCACTAAGGGGATTTCAGTCTGCTGGAAGGTTCTTGCTTTGGCTCAGCTTAAACAGTTGGCAAGGGTTGTGTTTATTGCAAAAGATGCTGACAGATGATGAAGTCTGGGTTGAAGGTCAGCCAGTAAAACTACTTCTAGTCTAGCAGGTATACCAATAAATCAGACCTCTATTATAAGACTTTATTGCCTACTTACCAAGTGACTGCAAAGCAGACAAAATGAGTCAGGAACCAAACCAAAATGCTCTTACCTTTGTTACAGTCACTGCTGCATTAAAGTTGGTAATCTCTCCGAGAGCTGCTCTCCTCGGACCCGCTGCTGCGGCGGCTTTCCCCGGTCTCTGCCGGTTCTCTGCGGTTAGGAGCTGCTAACGAGACAAACATGCACATTAAAAAGGCTTGACCGATTTTTCTACAGCATGTTTAACATTACTGAAACGATAGCGTTATTATTGCAGCGCTAGCACCAACTAGCCAACAGCAGCGCTTCTCTAGCAAACAAAAGTCTTTTTACTCACCGCAGCACGAACTTCCACAGACATGTTTACCGTGGGCAGCAACGAGGA